CTCTCTCTCTCTCTCTCTCTCTCTCTCTCTCTCTCTCTCTCTCTCTCTCTCTCTCGCTCTCTCTCTCTTCTCTCTCTCTCTCTCTCTCTCTCTCTCATATGTAACTCGACATATGATAGTTCGCGTGTATCTTGTCCCTGATGGTCAGCTGTACATGATTCACTTTTGTACAGACCTTTACAATCCTCTCTGTTTCGGAGTTTCCCTAATTGGAACATGTTCACATCATGTGGGTATGTCAGCTACTATTGCTTGTCAGATTTGACACCACCTGTTGTCATTGCCCCTGAGATTGCAGTCGTCCATGGCTGTTATGGCTCCGGTCCGTGCAAGTGGAATCATGGAGGCAGTCTTGGAAAATGCAGCAACCACAACAAATTATATTATTATCCCATTGTGTGCGCATGCCAAGTCCGATGATGAGAGGGATTTCTAAAATGAAAATTGCAGGCTCAAACCTCATAAACTCCTCCCCACCTTTCCCCTATCTAATCTTCAGTCAGTTCAATACTCAAGAGTGTTATCACACACCGAAATTCGCTTGCTAGAGAGGAAAGAGCATATCGTCATCTGCTCTAATGCACTACCTATCACACACTGTACCACCTGGCCCACAGCTTGCCACCTGTGCTGTGGATGTGGATGATACTGTGTGACTGCAAATGGGTGCATGCGCCAAACGGGTGGCTATACTCTCTCTGTAACTTCCTGAGCCTCTCACCCAGATCATGTCGTGTGCGCTAGAGAGATGTCAGATTGACAGGCTTATGATGCAGGCTGACGAGTGCACACGGAACATATATGGTGGTGGATACATAAGCCACATACCTTTTTTGGGGGGGGTTACCTCTTCTTTTTCTTTTTTTAGGGCCAACTAAAAGTTTGGGGCATCCATTACAATTGGAACGACACAGACAAGATTAGCATGGCCCCTCTGCAAGGATGACACACAAAAATTGAGACAGGAGCCACAAACTTGTTCTCTTTTTTCTTTTTCAAATTTCCAAGAAATATGCGTAGTATTATTGGACTATAAGTTTGACTATGGCTACATTTTGGTTATGGGGAGCATCGCCCCCACTCTTTTTCAACCATCGGCTGAAAAATTTTAAGAGAGAAAGGAGCAGGTCAGCAATCTCCAGTAGTAGACCCCCAAGTACTGCAGTTCAGTTGTCCAGGCCGTGGGTCCCATCCCACAAGCTCGGTCCTACCTTTTGCCGTTTCCTGTCTCTTAGGAAAGCCCCCCCTTAGCTTAATTGGTATCATTTGCCGCTGCTTTTCTGACCTCCATCCATGTGTGGTAGTTCAAGCGATAGCTTGCAGTGAGCTGAACAAGAACTCTACCAAAGCTACGTGACAAATGGTTTCCTCGTTTGGGCCACCAAGTGCAGACCCTATACATCTCCACCAAGAGATAACCCGATTTCCTTCAGATGTGAAGGGAAACGACCCGTTTTGTTCCCTCAACAAATGCAAAGGTAAAGGAATGAGTCAGGCCCTGCTTACAGAAGCAGAGGCCATGCAAGGGCATCTGGATCTGACACAGCTTATGCAGGCTGGGTCTTTGATGATATCAGTGACAAACCAGTCTGGGTGTGACGCTCTCAGAAGAAGAAGAAGAAATGTGGGCTTCCACCCATGTGGGTTTGTAGTACTTTGTACCCATGTGGGTTTGTAGTACTTTGTACCCATGTGGGTAGCAAGTTACTAGAAACCCACCTGGATTTGTATGCACATGGGTAGAAACCCATGTGCGTTTGTGCAATCAGACTCGTTCTCAAACACACTTTTCATGCATGTAAACAGCAACGCAGCATACTGGCGACATGCGGCCACTCAAAAACTCGGAGATATGGCTTTCAGATACGAGTTCACTCTCAATTAGCTATGGCGACTTCAGCGCCCAAACATCTCACTGTTCACATACACGGGATCACCCTGGATATCCCACACGCATCACTCTAACACTCGAGCACACACACACACTCACTACTAACTACGGCTATGGCAGCTGTCGCTGCATCTAACCTATCGCTATACTAACTCCCTCTCTCTTGCCCACTGCGTCCTCCGGGATCATCTGCAGACCTCCTTGCACAAGTCGTTGTGGCAGTGCTTCCGCATGGCTCACGCAGGAATCAATGAATGGCTGGGCGCTGCCTCTTGATTTATACTTCAGAAACTCGCTGGTCTGCCCTTTGCCATCGGCCCTTGGTGCTCACAGTCCCCCTGTGGTACTTGCTGGACCGGACTGGGACTGACTGGACCTTCTGCTGACTGACTGT